GATGGAACTCGGGTCCTTGTGCTTGTGAGGCAGGCAACAGAACCACTGAGCTAAATCCCCAGCCCCATCCTTGACTCTTAATCCCAGAACCTTGTGCCAAGTTATCGCTCTTCCCACTCTGTTCAGTCCTTTCTGCCTGAATGCAGGGACTACACAACATGAGTCACCTGTGGTGCCTCCATGGCCATCCTGGTTTGCAAACGGCCATTCTGCCCATTTTGGTGAGTTGGCCTCTGCCTTAGGTCAGAGGGACCTGGATTTGAATTCCTTGCACCACCAGTTCCTAGCACCATTGCTTGAACTCTCTGAATCTCAAGGTCCTTGACTATAAAGTGGGGAGCATAACTTTTAACTGAAATTTAGGATCTCCTTGTATATGAATGTAGGTTCCAGAATATACTACTGGGATGTCAATGTCCATGAAACTCACATCCCTTTGTAGTTGTTGAGGATATCTTGAAATAACTGGCTATGCTTGTTCCTACTTCAAAATTATGGCAGATATTAAATCTCCTTCTATAATTTGTTAGTGAAATAATAAAGAAGCATATATTTTGGCACCGATGTTTTGACCTAATAACTGGTTTTCTTTGAATATTGCTTTCTGCATTTGTGAACATTATCCAAAAGTCCACTGGCTTCCCTCAATTGCCAAAGGAGTTGATGGCTCAAAAACGGTTCTGAACCCACTGAGTGTGGAGGCAGCCCCCAGACCACCCTCACTTTTTTGTTGTTTTTTTGGTCCTGGGGATCGAACTCGGGTCCTTGCACTTGCAAGGCAGACGGGGGAACCACTGAGCTAAATCTCCGGCCCTGCCACCCTTACTTTTGATGCCAACTGTAAGTTTGGGGGCCCAACACCACCTTCAGGCTTGATAAGGCACTAGAAGGACTTATAGGATCTACTGAACGCTGTTACACTTGGGGTGCTGGCATGGGACAGCGTGTTGGAGTGAAGCTTCCGGTGTGCTCTCCCAGGGACACCATGAGCAGCGCAGTGCCGACGTTTCTTGACAAGCTCAGCATTCCCATCCTGCAAAGCTTGCCTGAGCCTTGGCGTCCAGTCTTTGTTGGGCTTGGACAGGTAGATACAGTGGGCCACCTGCCTTTCACCTCCAGCCCTTCCAGTGGTGGAGCTGATACCTTGTGGCACAATCCCTCTCTCCCCTTACCTGAAATCACACTGCTAGGCTGTGTGGTCCCGGACACCCAAGGCCAGCCTCTGTCTGGGTAGGGCTAATCCTTTACACACACTGCATTCTAAACCCTGCCGTGGAGCTGCAAGCTTGGGGTGGTTGAAGGTGGGGCAGTGGAGTGGGCAGCCAACACACAGATGAAGCTACTAAAACACTATTTAGAAGATTTTGTTTTGTACCTTGCAAAGACAATGTGGAGTTCATTGCTTCCAGAGTCCAGAGAATAATCCCAATGATCAAAACCATCCCTTGGTTTAGTACCTAAGGCTTTTGAAAGTGTATTTTCATCTGTTGTCTCATTTAGTTAAGCCTCAGACGCAGGAGCTCCTGAAGGTTGGGGGTCCCCGAGGCCAGACTCAGCCCTCCTCCTCCTCCTGCCCTGCCTGGCCCTTCCTCCAGGTACTTCAGACAGAGTCTGTTCTGTGGCCAAGATCAGCAGATGTTTTGCAGATTCAGGTGCGTGGTAATGCCCGGGTGGTCTGTTCTGGAATGTGCTCCGCGGGGCGTTTCCATGCGGTCACTGCCCCTGCTGTGACCAGCAGACATGAGGGAGGCTCCCTAGCCAACATGTTTCGGCTCATCTGAGGCAAGCTGTCACCCGACAACGCCGTGAGCTCACCCTGAAGTCTGGTGTAAATTCCACGTGCTCAGCCTCTGGGTGAGTGTGAGAAGCTACTCTCTGGGGACGCTTCCCATGAGAGGTCTTCCCCGGGGCCAGACAGCTTTGTGCTGTCCCTGGAGACAATGCCTGTGCTCATGAGTCTGCTCTCAGGAACCTGCAAAGGAATCACTGCCACTTTACTCAGGCCCTGTGCCTCTCTGAAGGGAACCACCCTCTCCTCCGCCTCCTCCTGTCTCTTCTTTCCATGGTCACCTGACTGGACTTCGGCTCCAGCTCCTCAGGCAGGGCCTGACCTGTTCCTGGCTGCGTTTCAGCACCTGCCCCACTGCCTGACTAATGTTCGTTGAATGAATAAATAGAGATGCATCCATGAGGTCACTTACTGAATTCGATGCTGGGGCAGCTTTTCTTCTCTGGTGGCTCTGGAGGCCAGAGGTCCAAAATCAGTATCTCGAGGCCACAGGCAAGCTGACAGACAGCAGGTTATGCTGTCTCTGGAGGCTCTAATGGATAATCCCTCTCTTCCGGCCTCGAGTGGCTGTGGCATTCCTAGGCTTGTGGCTGTGCCTCTGTGGCCACATCATCTTCTCTTTGGTGTGTGTCATGTCTCCCTCTGCTTCACTCTCATAAGGACACATGTGAAGGCCTGTAGAGGGTTAAGGGAGGGAAAGAGGACATAAAAGAATGACGATGCATTATGTGCAGTACCAACTCCCCACGAAGAATGTAATCATTACCCAGTGCAAAGCTGGGTGTGGTGGTGCACATCTGTAATCCCAGCACTCAGGAGGCTGAGGGAGGATGGTTGCTTGGGCTACATAGTGAGTTTAAGGCCAGCCTAAACTACATAGTGAGACCTTGTCTCAAAAAACAACAAAAAGTTATCAGGTACTAATAAAAGTAAAAATTAAAAAAGTCACAAGCTAGGCATGGTGGTGCATGGCTGTGATCTCCACTCGAGAGGCTGAGGCAGGAAGATCTTCTTGAGTTTGAGACCAGCCTGGGATACATAGTGAGTTCAAGGCCAGTCTGAACGACACAGGCAGACCCTGTCTCAAAATAAAACAAACACACAAAAAATCACACCACAAGGTGGAAACTCAAGATGGTAATGAGAGAGGCAAGAGAAACAGTGCAGGCACAACCCTACGCTCTGTCTACCTGTGGTGATGTTGAGAAACGTGGGCCCCAACCACCTCATAGATGCCATAACAGCTCTACACCTTTGTCCTTTGGTTGGGCCAACCTGGGGTTCTGGTTCCCCATAGCTTTTCCCTTTGTGCTCAAGCATAAGAGTAAAAGCCTTGTTCCTTAATCCCAGCTACCAAGGCCTCCCTTTCTACACCAGCGACACAGATAGGAGGTGCATATCTGTGGGGCCTGGGCACGGGCTGCCGCCCACACCCTCAAAGGCCCCTCATGCCCTCACTGGTGTCTGGTGGGGGAAGGCACATGTCCCACCCACTTCCAGTTCAGGGAAAGGTGCGGGTGACAGAGGACTGTGGGTCACCAGGAAGCCATGCTGCCCCCGCGGGAGCCAGTGCTACAGTGGAAAGTGTGAGAACTGGGAATAACCAACCCATTTAGCCCTGGAGTGCACATTCAGCCCACATTCAGGCCTTACTGGGGTGCCCTTATCCTCCATGGTTCTGAATCATTATTTTCCCCTTTGTATTGCTCTCCTGGGGATTGAATTAAAGGCCTCACACTGGGCCAATATTAGGCAAGTGGTTACCATTGAGTCTCTTCTCCAGCCCTCTCTGAATTTTTATTTTGAGACAAGGTTTTGCTAAGTTGCCCAGGCTGGCCTTGAATTTGAAATCCTCCTGCTTCAGCCTTCTGGGTAGCTGGGACTATAGGCTTGAACCACTATGCCCAGCCTGACTCATTTCTTGATTTATTATTCCAGGGCCCTGTATAACCCAGAGTTTTTGTTCTCCATTCTCCAGATTTCCCATCTTGTCATTGCTTTGGCCGGTGTCCCCACCTTCCAGAGAGAGTCCCCTGGTAACGGCAGGACCCTTGCAGCAGATACTCCAGGACCTGGAGGCTCATGTCCCTCCTGAGCCCAGCTAGGTGGAGCCGGAGTGGGGGTGTGGTGGGGTACAGATTCATTCCGCTTCAACCTCCCTGTGGAGCTGGCTGTCCTTGGCTGGAGGGGCTGCCCGCCTAAGTGCTTGGCCTCCCGGAAGTCCTGAGCAAAGTCTGGCCATTTTCACACAGCTGCTTTTATCTGATCATCCCCGTGAGCCCTGAGAGCTGCTGTGTGACACTGGGCAGAGTCTCAAATGGGATTTGAGTGGCCTGGGGCCACTTGTGCCGCGGATCCCAGAGTTTTCACAGACAGCCTCCTGGTTACACCTGACACCTATGTCAGGTCTTAGTTTTTCTTCATCAGAAATTGCTTGTGCTCCCAGCTGCTGGCCCTGAACCAGGTAAGAGGCAGAGGTGAGTCAGAAGTGGGGCTGCCCTGTAGGGCTTCTTCCTGGTAGGGGAACTGGCAGGTGAACCAGTATGAGGAGCCCAACAAGGGCAGTGTGTTCAGGGCTGGCTCGACGCCTGACATTTCCAAAGGCCCCTTCCCACCTTGAGGCCTTGCTGCTTGCTGGCCTCTTGGCCCCAATGCCTTTCTCATCTGCATGGGACAAGCCCCTGCCTATCTTCAGTCCTCCCTGAGGCCCTCCCCTCAGTCCAACAATTGCTTCTGTTTGACAGTCTCATGCCTGATTTCTTGTCCTCTCTCTCCCTGCCCCAGGACAGGGACACCGCCTATCTTGCTCCTTATTGAACCCTGGTGCCTGGCACATAGTAAGTGCTCAGGGAGGTTTAGAGTCAATGAAGGAAGCTGTTTCACAGGAGAGGAACTGGTAAACTTTCTCAGGAGGAAATCTGGGAAGGCTTTCAGGAGGAGGTGAGGACTAAGCTGGGCTTTAAAAGAAGAATGAAAGGGCCAGGGATTTAGCTCAGTGGTTCCGCCACCTGCCTTGCAAGTGCAAGGTCCCGAGTTCGATCCCCAGTACCAAAAATAAAATAAAATAAATAAAATAAAAGAATGAAAATTAGCAGGCAGTTCCGGGCAGTAGAAATTGCATGCGCCAAGGCTCAGAGAGGCGACAACCTGTGGAAGTTCAGTGTTGTTACAGAGTGAGTGGGGGGTGGGACAGGGTGAAGGTGCAGGAAGGCAGGACCTGCTCATGGGAGGCTCAGTGGGTGCTTTCAGAAGCCAGGATATGTGGAGGAGGAGGGGCGTCCCCTGCCTGTGGTTTGCAAAGATGGTTCTGGTGGCTCTGTACTAAGGACTGAGGCTCCAGACTGGAGCTAGGAATCCAGTTAAGAGGCTCTGTGATATTCCCACACCCTTGAGGGTGATGAGCCTGAGCCCACGCAGTGTCCGAGAGCATGGGGGAGAAGAGAGGAGCCTGAGATTTCAGGCTGGAGTCCAGGGCTTGAGGACGAATTTGGTGCTGGAGAAGGAGTAGTGGAAGAAGATCCAATTAATCCAAGCCAAGGCCTCAAGAGGAGCACAACTTGAAGGCAGCTGGGAAGGGAAGGGACAGGTCGGTTCCGCTGTAGACACCCTGAGTCTGAGGATCCCTCGGGACTTGTATGGTTGGGATGAAGGCTCGAGGGAAGTCAGAGCAGGAGGTGTAGATTTGGGCTTCTGGATATGTGCATGAATTAAATCACAGGGGAATGAGACTGCCAGGGAGAGGGTACAGAGTAAGAGCGGAAGTCTTGTTATAAGACCCTTGGGTAAATAAAGACTCACAGTCCTTTCGGAGGAGGAGCACACCAAGAAACAGTGACCAGAGAGGCCAGGGAACCAGGGAGAGGAGCTGTCATGGAGATGCCACCGGGGCTGTGGCTGTTCCCAACGCCTGTCCCTCCTTCCTCTTTCCTATCCTGTGACTGTCCTTGGCATAAGCATATGGATATTCCTACTCCAGAGAAAGAATCTGGATCATGGAAGCCGGTGGTGGTGCTCTCATCTCCTCACCAGTGATTGGCTTGGGACTGACCCGTTAGGATCAATGAAGTATGAAGGCCCAGGAATTAGCAGTTGAAAGGCCTCCATCAGGAAGCTTTGTCAGGCACCTGTGTGGCACGTTTGCAGCTGTAATTAGATTTGGAATTGGCTTTTCCAGGGGAGCCTGCAGCTCTTGGGAGACCTTGCTGAAGGTGCAGGTTCCCCCGCTGGAGTGGGTCTGTCCAGGCCGGGCTGGGTGGGATTCTCTAGCCTGTGCTGCTGGTGCTGCTAAGGGTTTGGTTTCCTGGGCAGGAAGGGACCGGAATCTGGAAGCTCCCTTACCCACAGCAGATGTGAGGAGGGTGCTGGCCCAAGCATGCTTGGCTCAAGTTGGTGCTGGAGTCAAAACTAGGGTGGTGGCAGAACTCAGCCTGCCTGACTGGGAAGCAAGTTCACAGGGTGAAGCGTGGAGCTGCCAAGCTCCAAGCTCTGGAAGGCCTGCAGTGTAGACCAAGGGCTAGAAATAGCAGGCCAGAGAGCTGTGGCTGGCCTTCTCCAGGGACAGCGCTCTTTTAAGTTCAACTAGGAGCTGTGATTTGAGGTCACTTCTGTGTCTGCCAGGCCCTGGAAAGGGGTAGATGTCCCTGGAGCACACAGAAGCCTCCTGTTCATACTGGGCAACCTTGGCCTTGGACCCCAGGGTTTCTGGACCTTGGTTTTCAGGACTGTCCAACCTGGGGATGGAAATGGTATGTGACCTCTTCCCAGAGGCCCTGCAAGGGTATGCTGAACCTGAGGGCTCCACCTGCCTGACACATTGGGTCAGTGACCATGTGGCCATGACAACATCTCTTCTTCAACACGGGAGTGGGGAAGAAGCTCAGGGAAGGGGGGTGCTGTCAAATCAGGAGGAGGAAGGAATGGGAGTTGGCCAGGACTGGAGACTGGAGATGCTGGTCAGCACCCAGCAACCAGAACATTCTAGCACATTCCAGCACATTCCTGAAAGGGAGCTTCCTTGGGAAGAAGCTGCAGTTTTACAGGGATGACAGGGAAGGCACTGTGAAAATAGTGAAATTGTCCCAGCTTCTGTGGTACTGTGAGGTTGTGCTTGTCCTCTCCTCCTCTCTCTGCCTCTGCTTCTTTGTTTTCTCTTCCTTTCTGTTTTCCCAGCTCTCCCCTTCCCTTCTGTCTTCTCCCTCCATCCTTTCTTGTCTCTCCGAATGTCACCTTGGCGTTGGGTCTCTTTCTGGCCACCACCTGTGACTGAGTCTCTATCACATACGCTCACACGTTCTCACCTAGTGTCACACCCACAGTGCCGCGCGCACACACACACACACACACACACGCTCACACGCCCTGGGCCTGGCTGGATCGTCATCATGCTGCTGCCGGCCCTGGGCAACAGAGGAATCGCACGTGTTCGGCACACTTTCCCTGTGCTCTCACTGACACCTCCTCACTCATCCCTTGCTTTATAAATACTCGCTTACAACGTCACCTGTGTCTTCATCGCTTTTTATCAGCAAACATTCCAATGCCTTCCTGGTGCCTCCTGCTGCGGTGCGGGGCAGGTGGGCCCTGAGAAGCCACTCCAGCAGCGGGAGGGCAGCCCTCAGCTCTGTGAGCCCCGGCAAAGGCTGCAGTGTCCACGCCGGCACAGTGCTCCCCATTAGGGCAGTGTGGAGCCAGGGTACCCGAGGGAGTCTGGGTCCTGACTTTCCCATGCATCTCTGGCAGACCATGCAACCTCTTCTGGCCTCGGCTTACTTTTCCTCTCACTTGCTTTTAGAGATGGGGTGCTGGGCTGGAATTCTTGGGGTCTGATAATCCTCTTGCCTTGGCTGCCCAAGTAGCTGGAACTACAGGTGCTCACCCCCGGTGCTGCCCAGCAGGTCATTATTATTTTAAATCTAGAAATTGGGTGTTTTGTTTGCTTCATTGATTACACATGGGTTCTGCGGCGTGCGCTCCCTCCGAGGGTGAGGACAGTGAGTATAATGATGGTACTGACGCCATTGAGTGTCCCATGCTGTTTGTCAGGCACTGTTCTAAGTGCCTCAGTGTTTCGGCACCATCTTATAACCACCTCGTGAGATGGTAGTGTTATGTCTGTTTCACAGGTGAGGAAATGGAGGTACAGAGAGGTTAAGCTACTTGTCCAAGGTTGCACAACAGGTAAGTAGCTGAGCTGGGTTTCAAACCTAGCACCTGGGCCCAGACCCTACCTCCTTTGCTTGTTTCCCTGATGGCCTGTGGAATACTCTCCTTTCCAGACTTTTCTGGGGTGGCCTGGTAGAATGATGTTGGTGCCCTCTCCTCAGGACCTCTGAGAAACTATATTTACAGGCCTGGCTGTGTGGACAGTGCTCAGGGGAGGTCATGCGGTCCTGGGACTGTGTGATCCTCTCTCCTGGGGCCTTCTGAGGGACGTGGGGTCCCTGTGAAGACAGGGGCTGCATTAACCATCTGTGTGTCCAGGCTGTGTTGCCCATTGTGCCTGTCTTTGGAGAATCACTGTTCCCAGCCCTGCGCGCCAGGCCTCCCGTTTGTCAGCCATGTTCCCTCTGGTTTCTGTGTATCTGTGTTGTGTGTTGACTCTGGCTGCTGTCTTTGTTTCACTGCTAAAAGGAGAATCCAGGTGGAACGAGGCCTAGCTCATTCCTTCAGTCAGGACGCTGTGCTGACCATCTAGGGGATCCCAGGACGAACACAGTGTGCTCTGGCCACAGAAATCTTGGGGTCCCATAGAAGCACTCTCCATCCACTACTGTGCCACAGCTGTTCGTGTGTGTGAGAGTGTGCACTGCCTCCATGGCACACCCTGCAGGGCCATGGACCGGGCTCTTGGGGATGCCTCACATAGCAGACAATAGTTAATAAGTTGGGGTGCAGAGACCCCCAAACACAAATACATTGATTCATACAACGTCATTTTTTTTTCAATACTAGGAATTGAAATCGTGGTCTGGCACAAACCAGGCTAATGCATTACCTCTGAGCTCCAATTCCAACCCTTCTTATTTTTTATTCTGAGGCAGGATCTCACTGAGTCACTAAATTGTCCAGGCTAGCCTCAAACTTGCAATCCTCCTGCCTCAGCCTCCCTGCATAGCAGAGTGCAGATATAGATGGCACTTAGGCTGATGGGACAGCTCAACTCACAGTCACTCAGGGATCCAGTGTGCCTTTCTTGTCCTTGGCTCTAACCCACTCTCGGTGTTGTCCCCCTGCATGTGGCTGGAGCCTGGTGAGAGCCTTACGGGCATTCCAGCCTGTGCGAAGGGTGACGGCAGGGCAGAGAGGCAGCTCACACATCCTGTTGGCCAGAACTTGGACATCTGGCCATGCCTGGTTACAAAGGAGGTGGGGAAATGTAGTCTATGGGCAGATGGTCACATGTCCAGTCAGAAGTTTAATGTGGCAGGAAGGGATAACAAGGGATCATTATCTCCATTACTCTACCACCATGAGTCAGGCTGTGGCATGTGAGGAGAGTACTATCAGGCAGAAATTACAGCGGGAGGGGATTCCAGGTACATCTCAGAAGATAGCAGATGTGGGGAAGGTACAGGACACATTTGGAGAAAGTGACTATCCAGCCAGGTGAGGGGGCACATTCATCTAATTCCAGCTACTTCAGAGACTGAGACAGGATGATTGCAAGCTCAAGACCAGCCTGGGACATTTAGCAAGACCTTGTCTCAAAGAAAAGAGTAAAAATAGGGCTAGGGATTTAGCTCAGCGGCACCGAGCCTGAGTGGACAGGCTTCACACAACCTCTCAGCCTCCTCTCTTGTCCAACACATGCTTAACACTGGGCAAGGCACGGGCAGATCACAAAAGGGGCTGTCAGGGCCTCTCTCCAGGGCTGGGTCTTGGCTGTGTGTGGATGTGGGAGTGTGGGGCCGTCACCTCGGCTGCACTAGCAGTTTGTCCAGTGTTTGGACATCTTCTCAGGCCCAGTGGGCTCTGCGCAGCAGCTGGTCTCCTGCAGCTCCCGGCTGTCCAGCTCCTGCTCACCCCAAGGTGACTATGTCACCTATAGAGATTTAGGAAACCAAAACCATTGTGTGAGCCAGTGGCATGAAGAAAAGGCACCAGTGCCCAGATGGAGAGGCTTAGGACATTCTCGAGGGGGCCTCCTTCTCTCTGGAACCTCGGATGAAATCAGCACAGACATGCGGCGTGGACTCTGGGTCTCAAAAGAGGAGTAGAAACGATTCAGACTGAGGCCACAGGGACAGGAAATCACTAAGTAGTCAGCACCTCGCCCCCATGTGAGGGGCCCCCTTCCCCTGGCCAGGGCTTATTCCTCACTCAGGATATTCTCCCTTTCCTTCTTGTTTTCCCAGCGCAGCGCTCCAGGTGCTTGCAGCAGAATCACTGGCTGTCCTTCAACAAATGCAGACTCCTGGGCCGCCTCTCAGATGTACTGTTAGAAGCTGAGGATGGGACCCAGGTGTCTGCATTTTTAACCAGCTCCCTGGGTGACTCTGAGGCACTGCCCACTAGGAACTGTTGGCCCCAAGGTACTTCTGGCATGGCCAGCCGCTGTGGGACTGGCACAAAGCAGGCCCATGTGACATTGTTGTGACATGGAGAGCACCGCAGGGACAGACAACAAACTTTTGGGCCCTTAGCCTGTTACTCATTAGAAGTGTGATTTATGTTTTCTTTCGAGGCAGTCAGGACTTAAAAGCGGTTTTTGCTAAAAGTAGCAAGTATTCACTGGGGCCTACAGATCAGTTACAGTAAGTAACTAAAAGCAGAATCAAGTCTTGACCTTCATTTTGTGAAACTGGGTCAAATCCTTCCCTGCGTTGCCTGTAGGGCTATTAGTCACTTAGGGAATGTCTGCAAGTTGGTAAAACAAAGTCTGTTAGCCCTAAATTTACCTAGTCTATTTCGTTACCCTTCAAGATCACGGATATCAGAAGAAGAGATGTACAGGAACATAGCTACACCCAGAATCACCATTGCCTAAACCTGTGGTCACCTTGGATGCCAGCAGAGCCTCATACAACTGAACTTGTCTCTCAGTTCGTGAAGACTCGCCTTATAGGAACCCAGTTGCCCCCCAAGTTGCGAGGAGTCCTCTGGAGCTGGAAACCAGGCTGAGGTAGAGATGGATAGGACCCTGGCCCAGCATGGCACCCACCAGGCTGGTCTCCACTCTTGTGGGAGCGGCTATCCCATCCTCTCCACCACGTGCCCCTCCAGCCGCTCCTCACACCGGAGACCTGCCCTATCTTCTCGTTCCTTTGGATCACAGCTTTTGCTTGAGAATTCATACTGTCTTTTAATCCTGTTATCACTAGAGCAAGAGTCTGACTCAGTGGCCCCATCTGTGCGTGGAGTCCAGGACTCTCCAGGGTTGTATGGAGAACTAGGTGAGAGCTTCTACAGAACCTATCTGGTGCCTAGCACGACATTCAGCAAAGCAGATTTAAAAACTTCTTTTATAAAGAAAACCAAGTTATGTCTCATCCAGAAGAGAAAAGAGTGCATGTAAAATTAGCATTACAGCCCAGTGGAAGCTGTCCTGCACCTCACCCTCTCAGGAGTGCCGGAAACCTCAGTCTAGGGGCCCTTCTGCCACTCCTCCTTCTAGCCACAGGAGTCTCCAGTAGGGAGGCACCCCCTTTTTAAAAGGGGAAAGCTTTCCTGCACAGAGTCACTCGGGACACCTGCAGACCTCTTCCCAGATGTCTCCAGCCAGTTCGATTTAGGGTACTGGCGATGGATTCTTGGGATGAGCATTTAAAAGCAGGTGCTTCTTACCTTTTCAAAAGTTAGGGAAACAGCCATTTAAAGCAAATTTAACCCTCTGGTTCATTTCTGACGAACCAGAAATTTCCTCCCTTACTACCCATAATTCTTTGTCTTTCCCCGGCTTTATCCAGGGCTCAGAAAACAGTATTTGAGGTGTGAAGACCTGAGAGTTGTGTTTGGAGATTACAAAGCATAAAATCTTAGTATGTGTTTATGTCGTTCACGTGTGAATGTGCACACACACACACACACACCTGAAAACTACCTATGGTGATGGGGAAGGAAATTGGCTAAAACCCTAAAAGCTGTGGGCTGCGACAGTGCTCCGAGGAAATTCGTCTCCAGTACTAAGATGAAAGGAGGAGGAGATTCCATATGGGTGGATGGGGAGAGCTTGGGATACAAGGCAGAGTGGAGACTCCAGCACCTGAATGGCCACAGTGCCACCCGTAGCTGTCACCATCCTGCCATCCTGGAACTGGGGAGGGCGAACACTGCCTTAGATGCTTCAAGCCTAGGGAAGCGGGAAGCGGGGAACCTGTCCTGCTAACTTGTGCACAAGGGAAGCACTTTGCCAAGCCTCGTGAGGACAGGCCTAGGCAGTCGGTCATCCCTGCTGGCACCCCACCCCCAGGACAATCCTAGATGAGCTCTGTGTGCTCCCTGGGCCTGAGGGAGGCCCAAGGCCAAGGGCCTGGCTTTTCTCACTGATCCCAGTGCTGCTGGTGACTCCATTTTCTGACATGACCTCTAACAGGAGCTTGAGAATAACGTTGAGCAAGGTCACACTCAGCCACATTTTGAGGAACCATCTACACTGGCCATGAGCAAGTGCAGGTGAAGTGCTGGCTTAACAGCATTCTCCCAGGATGGGTCAGGAACACCAGCGATAGCAGGTGATGGCCCTTGGGTAATGACTTATGAAAAACAAAACAAAAAAAATCCCTATGAATCCACTAAAATCCATTAAGTTGTATGTGTTACATGAGTGAATTGTATGATTGTACAGTAAGTTATATCTCAATAAAATTGTTGCAAAAACTAAATCCAGAAAAGCAGATGATTTCCTAGAAAGATCTCCCTCTTTCTCTCTTTGTGTTACTGGGGATTAAACCTAGGGCCTTTGACTCAGCTACATCCCTGTCATTTTTTATTTTGAGACAAGGTCTTACTAAATCACCAAGTTGCCAAGGCTGGGTTTGATTGAACTTGCAATCCTCCTGCCTCAGCCTCTCAAAGTGCCACCGTGCCAAGCAAGGTTTCTCATTTTAAGATATAACCATCAGCCTGTGCAGGACTTAATCTTCCCTCTTTCCCTGTCCTGTGTGGAAAAACACCTGTCTGTGACAGGCCTTCCTTCAGCACCACAGAATCTGACCCAACCTCACCCTGACACATTGCTCAACTCTTCAAGGGGATGAGATTTGGCAAATCCTAAAAGAATCAGAGGAGGGAACCATGGGTTTTCAGGCTTGGATTTACAGGCTGACTCATGAATAACAATAGCCATAAAGCATGAGTGGTAGGAGCTAGCCTTTACTGAATTTACTGCCCCAGGCCCCGCCTGAGCACATCCCATGGGGTTGTCCGTACTTGGGCGGGCGTAGCTGCATTTCACACCGGGGAACAAGCACACTTGGAGTGAATTGCCCAAAGCCACACAGCTGTGAAACTTGGCTGCACACTGGAACATCTGGAGGGGTTTAACAGTTTCTGTGCCTCCTCATCACCCCCGGAGACTCTGATCTTACTCACTTGGGGCATGTCTGAGCATCAGGCTCTGTTTGGTTTTGCGTGTGGTGCACCAGGTGATTCTAATACGGGGACTGTGATCCGGGACGGTGTCCTTCTCTATGAGCCTCGCTGTTTGGGCCTGGGCTGGTACCACGCCTGTGCAGGGGGCCACTGGGCCTGGCGGCATGCCTAAATGCCTTCATCTGGGCCCACAGAGGGAGGAGCAACGGGAATTTCAGGATGGTGGCAGTAGCTGCAGGCTTCCCACGCCTGCCAGGCCCTGTCTGACGCCGGCCTCTGCTACCTTCTCCTCCTCTCCTCTTTCCCAGCTGGAGACTGAGACCTCACCGCCAAGGCCGCCTCGGCCCAGCCCCAGTCTCTGTGCAATCCTCACCCTGGTTGGGGCATCGGCAGTTTAGGGGTGTGTGTCGGCAGCAGGACTGCAGTTGTTAATCCCCCAGCCCTTTGCGTGCTCCTGTGACCAGGCTGTGGACTTCGTCCCACTCCCCTCTGTGAACCTCATTAAGTGACCTGCTGTCTGTCTGCCCCCCCCCCCCCCCGCCGCCATGCCGCTCAGGAGCCTTTCGTCCTTCTCTTCTCGGCCTTGGCTCCTGTATTTCACTTAGGGAAGAGTCTTGTCTGCTCTTTTTCTCCCCTCCTGCTTCGTAACTTATTAGTAATAGTAATTAAATTTTTTTCTATTTCTGTTAGTACGTGTTTGCAGTACATAATAATTACGTTCCTTGTGGGGAGTTGGTACACATATATGACACATCTTAATTCTTTTTTCATTCCCTTTCTCTCCTCCCCACTTCTCTTGGTCTCCTTTACCCTTTAGCAAAAAAACAATCTCTGTATTTCTTATTATCTGTTTTCCTAGATCCAGTTACCTATCTTTTATTTTGGTATTATTTATTTATTTTCAGTTGAAGAGGTGGAAAAACCCCCACAAACTTTATTATGCCAGCGAGCCCTGACAGGCTCAGAGGAGTCTGAGTGCTCTACCAGAAATGAGAGGCTCCTTATATAGGGACCTACAGGGTAGGTGAGCAGGCTCACTGAAGCAGGGGGGTGGAGTTACAGAACATTCCTGAAGCAGAGGGTCCTAGTGACAGAACATTCCTGAGAGGGGGCAGAGCTTAACAGAACATTCCTGAAAGGTCACACCGTTCCAACAGTCACGAACCATTTTGATACACTGGGCAGGAGCCCAGCAGCACAAACTTACATTTCCAAAACAAAACATTCTGTGGAAAAAAAAAATGGAGGCAAGGCAAGGGCCTGTCTAATTGTATAGGACTTCTCTATCAATTGTCTTTGGGGGGAAGTGATTATGATAGGTATCTTCCTGTCAGTTTCATAGGCATTAATCTGCCTTGACATGTTTCATAAACAGAACATTACATTATTCTAATGTCAATGAACTTGTAGCTTCACTTTGAGACCAGTAACAATTTTTAAAAAGAGGAATTGGATATGTTGAGTGTAGACATCATGAGATCTCTAAAAACAAAAGGTATTACAGATTCTCAGATCAGAAAGGAAAAGGATTCTGGAGGATCCTACAGATTTTCATTTCTAAAAACTTACGTGTCAGTCTCCATAACCCACACAAACAAGAAACCTTTTCTATTACAAACAAAAGGACCTTGTGGGCAAGATCGAGGTGGCCCTGGGGGGCTGGGCCAGCTCTGCCCAGGCCCATTGGGTACTGTGACTTTACAGGAGCCCGTGTGATGTCAAAGCAGTTAGCTAAGGCCGTGCCTCGGGTGGGGTTTTCATCCCAGCGATCTCTTGTGGGTGACCTGGGATTTGGACGGAGAGTGTTGTTGGTGATGTGGTGATTGATTTGGTGATATGGAGAGCGGAGCTTTTGGTTCCATTGAGATGTGCAGTGTGGGTGGCGAATGTAGTGAGGGAACATCTTGGCTGCGCCTCACGACCAGCTCCCACAGACACAGCCTCTAGGAAAAATACGACATGCTGACCCCATTGCCCAAGCCGGCTTTGGTAAGATCTTCCTGGCTGAACATTGTGGCACAGGGATGCTGGTCACTGTGAAGGAGTTAGAGAAGGCAAAAGCTCCAGCAACCTACATTACATTGGAGGTGGGGATCCTGAAGGACCTTCACCACCCTAATATCATACAGCTACCAGAGGTCATCGAAGCTAAGGACAAAGTACACCTGGTCCTAGAGTATGTGATGGGTGGGAACCTGACAACACATCTGCAGGACTGAAAACCACAGGCTGCCAGAGGAGGAGGCCAGGGGGATATTTCGAGATATGGTGGGAGCTGGGCATTCTTGTCAGGACCGGGGAATTGTACATGGGGACCTCAAACTCGACAATGTTTTGACCGACACCCAAGGCCATGCCAAGATCTGTGACTTTGGGTTGGGGTTCCGGTTCCTCCCTGGGCAGGAGGTGACTGTGGTTCATGGCATGCTGAAACATTCTGCCCCAGAGATGATCTTGGGCAGGAGGTATGAAGGCCCTTTCCTGGATGTTTAGGCTCTTGGGTCATTATGTACAAATTGGTGGCTGGCAAACTCCCCTTTTATGGGGATAAACCACAGATAATCCAAAAGATCCTTTCTGGGAAGTTCTCTTGCCCCTACTCCATCTGCCTGGATGCCAAAGACCCCATCAGGAAGCTCCTCAACTCCAACCCTAGGATGTGGCCAACAGTACAGGAAGTGCTGCAGCACCAGTGGTTCTGTGTCCCACCCCCCAGTCCTTCTGAGCTGCTCCCTACACCCACAAAGACAGCAATCCCGAGCCTTATGGCCAGGTTGGGATTCAACTGACTAAAGGTCATGGACTCAGTGAGGAGAAAGCAATACAATCAGGAGACTGCCGCCTTCCTGCTGGTATGGAGCCAGGCACTCCAGACCACAGCCTCCCAACTGGGTGCAGGTAGACGTGGGGGCTGGGTGAGGTGGGGTTGTTGAGTACAGCTGCGACTTTATCCCACAGTCCTCCATGGCAAGCCAGTTCTCTCTGCTCACCTCCTGCCATGTCCGTGTGCAAGGGCTTCCATCAAGAAGCCGTCGAGTTGTCGCTGGAAGGACTGCGAGCCCAGGTGAAGAGAGACAGTGTGCTGCGTGTTCTGTGGACTGGGACACTATGCTGCTCCCTTGGCTGCCATGTAGAAGCCTAGACTCGCCCATGCTGTGAGCATCCCAGGAATATGCAGAGGCCACACTGATCCTCTGTCCACTGAGTTCACAATGGGAGCCACCCCAGCCCGGTCACCAGAGAGGTGTGTGACAGCATCTCCACATCATCCCAGTCCCAGCCATGGAGCATCCTGGCCCGGAAGTCAGTGCAGCTGAGTACCGAGGACCAGGGCCATATAGCGGACCAAGTGGACGTGGTCCTAGCCCCCAGGCCCATAGCTAACATCTCTGTGGCCTCCCTGGCTCCTCCTCTGTTGCCCAGGACAGTCAGCCCCAGGGCCAGGCAGTCTGCTTCTAGGCCTTGTCTCAAACTCGGCCTGTCTTTTCCCACGCACCATCAGCACTGTAGAGCAGATTTGTTCATGGCACAGATGTTGGGAACCCTCAGGGGCAGGACACTGGTGCGGGCACTGGGGTCACCAGTGGTGCAGGGCCAATGCTGAGGGCTTCTGCACATGACAGCAGGAGGGGGCTACAGGACTGAAGAACATGGAGACAGGCAAGGGATCAAATGAGCCAGCCTCTGCCCCAGAGCAGCTGGCTGAGGACTGATTCAGTGGCAACACCCAGGACAGCACTGCTGTGTGGCCAGCACAGTCAGCAGAGCTTCAGCATAGTGATACACGTGATCCTCTGAGAGTGCTCAGTGACCAGTGCTGCTCTTCCTCTTTCTGCTGTCAGGATCACTGGGATTTTACGTACGAGGAGCATGAATCATGGAGGGGTGAAGTGAAGTCCCAGATTTCCACACCCAGAACGGGCACAGCTGGGATTCAAGTCTGGAGCTCCTAAGTGCTCAGTCGTGCTGTCATCTAGTGAGGAAGACAGACTAGGGCACTGCAACAGGAGAGACAGCATGGGCACCAAGAGGGCTGTGTTAGTAGCTTTCCAGGCTGTGGCAGAGCCCCTGAGATTCATCAGCAGAGGTTTCCATCCATGATCACTGTGGGCTTGGGGCAGTGCAGCACATCATGGCAAGAATGTTGGAGGAGGAAACCCCTCACCTCATAGCACCGGGGAAGCAATTTTTGCTCTTTATTTATATTTTTGTGTCTCATGTAAGAGAAACCATGCAATATTTAAGT